TTATCTTCTGTGTCTGTATTTATTGGTTTCCCTTTTCTTTGTTGAAGAGGGTCTGTGCAATCCTTCTGCCTAGTCCGCCATCTTGCCCCGCCTCTACTCATCAGTTTTTTTACCTAATGATTTAATCAATCTAGTTATGATCTTTGTGTAGATCCATTATTTCATTAGGATTTAAAAAAATGTTGATTTTTGAAACTTCCTCTCCATTTATTAATTTCACTTCTATGTGTAAGAACTTTATTAACTGTGTAATTACTCTTAATTATAAACCCAAATCCATTGCTATTGAGTCGATTGCAACTCATAGCCACACATAGGACAGAGTAGAACTGAACTATAGGGTTCCCAAGGCTTTAATCTTTAGGGAAGCAAGTTCCACACCTTTCTCCTATGGAGTGTCTGGTGCGTTTGAACTGCCAGTCTTTTGGTTAGTAGCCAAGTGTTTAATCACTGTGCCACTAAGGCTCCTTTTAACATTGAGTTATAATTTGTAAGGAAAGGCAGAATAGTGCTTTATTTTTTTTTTCTTTATCAATTTTCAGACTAGTGAGTTGGTGCCTTAGCAGTCTCAATGGGATCAGTTTATTTTTGTAAAAAAAAAAAAAAGCTGTTATGTCCTCTTAGATTTTAATATCTTTGGATATTTTTCAGTGCACTATAAGTTATTCTTTCTTAACATCAAAATTTCCTATCTTAGAACAGTGGGCGAGCCATTGCTTTTGTTTCCTTTTAATGTGACCTTGTTGTTATGTGCCGTCGAGTTGGACCTGACTCATAGCGACCCCTCCTTGGGTTTCTGAGGCGGGATCACTACGGAAGTAGATTTCCCAACCTCCTTCTGAGGAGTGCCTGGTGGGTTTGAACCACCAGCCTTCTGGTTAGCAGTCAAGTGCCTTAGGCACTACGCTACCAGAGCTCCTCGTGACCTCATTAGTCTTAGATATTTTTTATGCTTCTGGAACAAGATAGCCTAGGGTGATCTGGTACATTTCTTGCTCCAAACCTAGAATCATCTTCTTACACCAAAAGCCATCTCATGCCTCATTTTAAACAGGGTGGATTTCAGAATGTTTTTGTTTCCATGACACACCAGTTCTAAGAAGTCTAATCCCTAATGGTTACTCTCTCCATTTCTACTTCTCTTCCAAGCCCATGGCTGAGAGATTGTTAATAGGAGCACTGAAGGGTGGTAAAAGCACTAAAATTGTTACCCTGAATGGAAAAAAAATTACAAAGATGCCATCGATATTAGGAAAGCTGTCCGGCCTTCAGATTCTAGCTCTGCAGAATAACCTGATCCCCAAGGTGTGCCCGGAGATAAGGGCCTTGACCCAGGTAAGGAGCAGCCTGTCTTTTTAGATTGAGGATGGGGAATAGGAAAAGAGAATAGAGGCAGAGGCTGAGCAATAATACGTAGGTACTTAGCTCTCTGGAGACTAAACATGGATTGCTATTGGAGAGGTATCAGAAGGCTTTCTCCCTTAGAGAATTACATCTGGTAGAAGGAGAAGATGTTTCAGTTTATTCATGTGCTCCTTGGCCCCCATCTGGAATCAGAGGATTAAGGCTCTGCCACACTCATCTTTCTGGAGGCTATCATCTGGAAGAGGGTTGGAGGTCTGGATTTGCTTGTCTACCTTGAGGGCTCACATCTGGAAATGGGTCTGAGGATCCCCGAGATGCCGTTCACCCTGGGGACTGTCCTGAAGGTGTTTTATATGAAATGCAGAGAAGTTTTGGGTTTAGGGAGGAGATCCTTTTTCAATTTCCTAGAGCAAGCAGGCTGAACTTTGAAATGGAGTATTGGCAGGGAATGGGAAGGAGGGAACATTCATTTCTTCTGAAGTAGGCTTTAAAAGAAGATTAATATTTTAAATAAAGAATATCCTTTTTAAAGAGCAAAAGTTGACATGAATGAATGCCAGATGCTTGTGTTAAACATTTCTGCATAACAATATGAAACTCAGATGCTAAAAATCTTGAGTTGGGAGAAGGCAAAGGATGTTAACTTAGTAATTTTCTTTGTTTGTTCACTTCTAAACTGTCATCAGCACAGAAAGAACTTACAAGTGGCTCAGTCATTGTTGCTCACTAATATTAAGTTGAGTTATGAAAAAAAAAAAACTTTTCTTACCTTCACTTGCCTTGTTTCCTTTTATGTTTAAGAACTTACTTGAGATTGCCTTCTATATCCATGTCTTTGTAAGAAATAGGATAATACTCTCCAATTCCTCTCTTTATAGTACCTTCCAAAATTGTACTTGTAGTTACAAGTCAACAAGGATTTGGGAAATTTAATTTGACATAAGGTGCCCTGGTGGCACAAACAGTTAAGCACTTTGGATGCTAATGGAAAGATTGGTGGTTCAAACCTGCCAGCCACTCTGTGGGAGAAGATCTGGTGATCTGCTTCCATCAAGGTTACAGCCTAGAAAACTCTGTGGGAGAGTTCGGCTCTGTCACATGGAGCTACCATCAATTGGGATCAATTCGACGGCATCTAAAAGCAATTTGACATAGAAGATATATGCAAACTAATTTAAAATCTGCCTGAGACTTGAGCTGATTCTCCCCATCTATTTCAATTTTTTTTCCATCAAAATGTTAGAGCACGTTGTTTTTAGAAGATGAAGTTACAAAATCGTTAATAAAAAGCAGCTATCTCCTGCCACTTCCCCTCATCCCCAATGCTGATCTCCATGTGTAATCACTTAGAAGTTTGTATCTTTTTTCTTGGTTTGTTCATTTTAGACAATCACTACCCTTCATCCTCCAATAGTTATACCACTATGTTTAGCTTCTCTATAATTACCTTCTAAACCTTTATTTTCTCTTCATCAACTGCAGACTCTTTTTACTCTCAACTTGGCAAAAGCGTCTGTAACCCACCTTTGGCTCTCCTCCCTTCGTCCACCTCACTAATTTCAAACTTCTGACTTTTACAAGATTTTTCACATTTATATTCTGTTCCTTTTATAATTATGATTAAACCTCTTGGAAAATTCTAACATTAATATTGTCAATAAATACATATCATTCACACAGAGTCAGTTAATATACTATGATTGTATTTTTCTCTAGGTAGCTTTTTCATCCCTTTTGAGTTTCTAACTGACTTTCTTTTTTTGCTTGTGCTTTTTTGCTTTTATTACAGCCTAATTTTATTTCCTACTCAATCATAACCAGTCAAATGGTTTTTCCTTTTTTCTTGAGAGACTTTCCTCCAGGGGCCTCACATCCTCTTGCCCAGTCTAAGCCGGTTGCTATCAAGTTTTCCTGGATACTGTCATCAAAGGACATCCCTTTGCAGCTCTTGTGAATTGGATTCATTAGTTTTGGTATCTCATATTTTCCTTTTTTGGTTTACTCCTTTATTTTGCAGGAGTATGTCTCCAGATACATAGGGTATGTGGTAGTGAAGTTTTTTAAACTTTTGCATGTCTGAAAAATGTCCATATTCTTTCCTCAAATATTATGAAATATATTTCCTTGGGGTAGGGGTTGGCACTGAGAATCTAATTATCCCTTTGTCTTCCTCTTGTGGGTTCTTCCCTTACTTTCCTCCTCACTGTCCTTACAGGTGATCCTAAATTTTTACTTTTGTTTGCTCACCTTCAACATCCTTAATAGGGAGTTGGCTCAGCTCAGCTCTTTTTTCTAAAGAAATCAGACTACTAGGGATTGAACCATTTGAAACTAGGTTTCTTGTGGTTTGTCTTTAAAGTGCTTTATGAGTTGGATTCAGACCCACTGGCATGGTGTTTTAGCTTTTCCTGAAGTAACAGTTTTTCTCTTACACAGTACCCAAGGTTGTGGAATTTTGGGGGGTGAGGGGAGAAGGTTATTTCACCTGTGTAATAATGGGAGTTCTAGAATCAGGTGTGAGTGAAATGTATTAAAACCTTCAAAGAATGGGTATAGTTTATACACACAATGCAGAAATACTACTTGGTCATTCTCATGGTTGCTAATAGAAAGAGCTAATGAAGATTTCAGAAAAGAGAGAGAGAAGTGAAGAGAACCCTGGATGAGAGTTTGGCATTCTGATGCTTTACCTGGCTTGCCCACTTATCAGCTAAATGGAGATTTTAATCTCTCTAGGTCTCCATTTCTGCCTTCAGTCATTCAATCCACAAATAAATACTGAGCACCATCTGTGTCCCAGGAACTGATGGTTGAACAATGAATGGACAGATGGAAATCCCTGTTTTCATGGTGCTTACATTCTAGTTAAAAGAGATATAAGAGACCAAAAAGCAAAATAAACAGGATTTTCGTGATGATGTGTGCTAAGATGAAAAATGTAGCAGAGAAAGGGAACAGAGCATGTTGTGGCATTCAGTCAAAATGCTGGTGGAGGACCTATGGTGCAGAGTGTCGGGGGCCTTTTAACTTGGCACTGTATATGTCATAGTTCAAAGATAATTCTCATTCTCACAGCTTTCTATTAAACTCCCAGATGTATTTTTTAAGAGTTTGAACTTTCTTAGGTGTCTGTATTTTGTATCTTTTATTAATAATGACAGTATAGGTGAGAACAAAATGTGGTCTTTACCTTCATGTTTGGTGATTCAATTAAATATTAATATATATAAAGTTCCAATCCTAGCACATAAGAATTTTTCAATAAATCTTATTTGCTATTATGATTAATATTACCATTATTGTGTAACTGGCAACAGTGATAAATGCGGGTAGGAGATGTCTTCAGGAAATGCAGATCCCTACTCTTTTTCCTTGGTAATTTGACTAATGAGGCTCTGGAGTCTTTCAGTGACTTCTAATGACATGAAATGGGTAATGTCCTGTAATTTATAGTGAATGCATTTGGCCTGTGCTTGATGAAGTGCAGGCATGTCAACAATTTTCAAAGAAACACTTTATGACTGTTGAGGGCAGAGACCATTCTTATCCCTGGGACCTGGGACCTGGGAAGCCATAATACAGGCTTTAGTGGAATGAAATGAAAGCAATTGTCAAAGCCCAGCTTACCAATTACAGTGCTACTGTGATTATGGAATCATGTAGGAACAAGTACCCCTCATAGGTAGAGCAGCCATACTTGTAGAGTCCCAACAGAGACAAATACCCATCATCTGTAATTATGTGCAGCATTGTTGACATGCATCATAGGGTTCAAAGACAGTGCAGCAGTGTTCCCCTTAAGCTGCTCATGTGTGGTTGCCCAGGACAAAGATAGGTTCTGACATAGTTTTTTATTTGACCATAAACAATTGACAGTAAATAAGGCCAACTCTATACAGAGTTTTGTAGTTTGTAAGTTTGTTACTGTGTCCCTAGTCTCTCCTTTTTATACTTTTACTGTTCTTGTCGATGACCCCTAACTCAATCAATTCAATTCATTTATTGATTGAGTCATTCATTCATTCGTATGTTCAACAAATAGTTAATATGTGCATGCAGTGTATTAGGCATGGGGGTATTTGCTAATTGTGGTAGTTAAGTTTGTGTGTCAACTTGGCTGAGCCTGGTTGAGGGGCTGGGAGCTGGTGATAGTTACTCCCCATGATGAGACTGGCAATCAACTCTATGGTGGGATCTACCACAAGCAGCTGAGTAGCTGCTTTGGGTATGTGGTCTGCTTCTTGTTCATAAGGAGAAGGCTTGGAGAATGGTCTCTAGCTTATGGCACTCTTAAACCCTGCATGTAGCTGTGCTATTGTTTAGTTAAGCAGGCTGCCATGTGCAGCCACGCTTGGGACTTTCCATGGACTCGAGTTAATGGCCTGCTGTGTAGTTTGGTAACATCAGAACTGTACCTTTTTTTTGTCAACTCTGGGCTTGTTAGCCTCAGCAGCCAGTAGCCGCCTAAGTGAAGAGATGCCTTTGGCTTCAATGGGCCAGGAGCAAGAGGCAGAGCTGAGCCCAAAGTTGAGGGACTTTTTCACCCAGCCCCTAGAGTCTGGCACTTTGAACTCCTCAGACTTCTAGCGTCCCGAACTGTAAGGGAATAAATTCCTGTTTGTTCAGACATCCCGTTTGTGGTATATTTCTGTCAGAGCAGCACTAGGTAACCAAAACACTAATACAAAATGGAACCAAAATTACTATGTGTCTCTATTCTCAGATTTAGTGGGGGAAAAGAAACAAAGGGATGTATGTAAAATTGTGAAAAAGTGCTGCAAAGGAGCGTTATATTGTACTATGAATCAGAATTGTCTCAATGGCAGTGGGTTTTTAGTTTCTAGTCAGAGAAGTCAGAGAATGGGGTCCAGAGGAAGTTTAAATGAGCCAGGATCTGAAGGTTAAGAGTTACCCAGAGGCACACGAGAAGGACAAGTATAAGCAAAGACTTCCCTAGTCTCCTTCCTCTG